GCGGTGGGTTCAAGAGCTATCAATAATGTCACTCACGTAAGCAGCAAACGTAATGAATACCAGGAGACCAGTAACTTTGGCAGTGCTGCAACCTCCTCCGCCGGCTGAGCATGCCGGATTTCCGCCTTCAGGACTGAACTTTGCGTATACAGCCACGAACGTCACGGCATACCAAGCTGCGAACGCAGTCGCGATAAGTCCTCCTAGAAAACTTACCAGGAAAACGTGGCCGAAGCTTTTCGAGACATTGACAGCAGTTTGAAGCATGAACGCACTGAAAGGTATACGAGGTATCCATGTCTACTTGAAATTAGTCGGAACGACCATTGAGACTGGAGAGGAGACTTACAATGAAAGCGAAGATCAAGAATGCAACGAATATTAGGAAAACTATTATGTCGAAAAGTCAGCAGTCAGCATACAAAACTTACGCACGCCGAGCCGCCTTAGTCGTTTTCGATCCCACAGGCTCCTCGATAGAATAAAAGCTGGATGAAATCATGGACATTGAAGGGGATAGCTCACCGATGCCACCAGAGTAATAATGGCGAACGAGCATGTAAATAGCCGTAACCAGACCGAAGATGATGTTCAGAATACCTGAGAAAGAGTCGGGAAAGGTTCAGTGACGCTGCAACACTGCGGCATTGCGGCATAATAATGAAAACAGACCTGTCACCCAAATGAATGCCTTGGGGAATGCCCGCGCCAAAAGGACATAACCGTAACTGAGAATTACTGCAACCGCAAGAACAAAAGCAAACAGGATGATAGTGTTCGTGTTCAGGCCGGCTTGGGAGCTGGAATCGTAGATGGTGTTGCCGAAAGTTCTCTTGTCGGCCGCTGCGATGTCGTTAGTCTATCCCAGTGGAAGAGTTTTGTAGCAAGCATTCTGACCGTAACCATGGATAGCAAGGCCAGAGACAGCAACAAAGCCGAGGGACACGAGGAGAAACTAGAAAGAGTAAATCTTTTTGACCTCAAGGCTCCTTCGGGAATGAGCATACGAGAATAGCAGCCCAGAGATCGTTGTATTTGGGGCGTTCTAACTTGAAGGCATCCTCAAACATGAGCTTTTCATCTTGGGGAGACGGCTGCTGAGCGTCTCGGTAAGGATTTGCAGCTTCGTGGGTACCATCGTGGCTGGCCATGATGCCTGGTATATGCTTTTTTGCGAGGGAGATAAGCACTTGCTTGAATAAATGAAATTGACGAGTCAAAGTGCAAAAACCCGCATGTACTCGAGACTCAGCGCAATCGATGATGCTGTTATGAGTTAAGTCAATGTGTAGAGAGAGCTGTGTTGTGGAGCTAACCGTATGTTATTCTAGTGAAAGCTTGGGCAACAGACTTCGCCTGCCCCAGCTTTTCCTAGTGCGACGATTGGACATTCCACCTGCATCATAACGTCACAGGTGTTACGCCAATTTTGAGGATACCGCGACTTGAGACATGTCTTATTTGCTGCTATGAACTATAGAAAATCGGCAGGAGGTATCACTGATGAGCCATGCCGATCCTCCAGAAGACCCCAAATGCAGCCAGGTACATGACTGATGATGCGATGTACGGACTACCATAAAAACCAACCTTGATGCCGTAAAACCAGCAGGCCGCCATGAAGGGAGCTCCGACGAGCGACCCCAGGGTCTTGACCATCATTACAATTGAAAAGACGTGGGCCTGCGGGTTGCCTGTAACCCCTTGGTTGTGTTGATAAGCCGAGAACTTTGGAGAATTTGCCAATGAGAGTGTAAAGATAGAAAGGGGGACGCCCATCGCATAAATCAGCAAGCTGGGTACAAGCTCCCAGGTGGTTGCAGCTACACCAATTGCGAAAGCACCCACGATCGACGCCAGCAGGCAAAATCGTGCACATTTCGTGTTTGCTCGATCGGACAACGATGGAGGTGTCTGCTGTCGTGTGGCCAAGAAGAGCGGAACAAGGATACTTAATAGTACAAAATTGACTGCGGCTTTGGCTGAAAGCAGGTAACCTGCCGAAGCGAAGGTCCATCGATATCTCTTGGAAATATACTGAGCGAGCAATTTGGTGTCGGCACTCGCGACACTGGTGAGAAACATGGAAACAAGCAAGAGAGCTAGATCGATATGGTTAAAAAAAGACACGAGTAAGCGAACACGGTCAAGGACAGATGCCCCAATAGTTTTGCTTGATGCCTGTGCTTTCAAGATGGGGGATGATATCAACGGGCGCTGATCTGGGTTCTGGTCCTCGGCTCTGGTGTCGACAGGGGGGACAAGTGAGATGATGGGGATCGCAAGGAGGAGAAGAAGAAGTCCGAGCCAAAACGGGAGAGATATTTGGACAGTCATAGTAGAAGCCGCGAGAGCTGGGCTGAGAAAGCCTATGACGGAGGTCAAAGCCGTCATCCAGCTGAAATAAACAGTGCTGAGGAGTCTGTCAGTAGGGGGTATACTCTCGTGCTATCGCATTGGGACAAACCGAGTAACATCGTCCTGTGGAGCCGCAGCCGCAAGTGAGTAGATGAGCGAGTTGAATACGGCGTCGCCGCCCAGAAACGACAGGCTCGCGGCGGCGATAGCAGCTTGAGGCGGTAGGTTGGTTGTGAGATAGCCGGTAGTAAGAATCCACAGCAACATGAAGAACCGGGGGACGAGATTCAGCCCAAGAACAACTCTCCGGCCGTATCTTTCAGCCACGAAACTCAAGGGTATTGCAACCAAAAAGTCTGCGGTAGACCATGCCAGTCAGAATCGTTGGCAAAAGAGATTTACTGATTGATGACTTGCCTCCCATAGTCCATAGTGTTTCCAACGCGCCCATAATCCATGCCATCTGCTGCTGAATCTCGTCTACCTTGCAGCGTTCCTCGTCCACATCATGATCACTATCATAGTATTGCTTACAGAGGCGTTGTTCTAATAGTCTATTCACGGGGATATTGGTAATGCCGCTGGTGAGGTTGATAATGCATAAGAGCGAGATGACGAGCCAGATAGCAGAAAGTGAAGAAGGCCTGCGTCCAGTTGGGCTCCTTGACGAAGAGCTATGTGTACCCTCGGTATTTTCCTCCATGCCGGAAAGTGGGTAGTCCTCGTAGACGACTTAGATCGGGTAGGTAGGTGGGTGGTTATTAGAATGGTGTCAGGAGAGGAGGTGTGGACTCTGATCTGTCTAAAGCATCTCCTACCCTGTAATGGAAACCTTACTTAAGGCACTCGAGTCGGCAATAGAGAATGTGGGGTCCAACCATTCAGGCGGGTCTTCGGTCGAGTCTACCGGCCAAAAGTGCATGCCCCTCCAGGCAATATTTAGAAGCCTATTTGCGTCTCTTACCCTGGCTTTCGTCCCGAGATGATATAGACCAGTTTGACCATGCTGCAGATTCAAGCGTTCTCTACTTTTCATTTCGAAAGATATTAACCATGAGGAAGATCAATACGCTTGAGGATGAGGAGCTTGGGGTGCTCATAGACAAGACTGAAGCCCTTGCCCTCCGTTCAAAGCGCACAGAAAGGTCGCGAAAGAAGCAGGGCGCAAAGGCTAAGAAAATCAAAGACTCTCAGCTTCTGAACTTACCCTATGAATTAATCATGCGCATTTTGTCTCTGCTGAGGCCAAGCGATGTATTCAACTTACAACGGACTAGCAAGCCATTCAGCATCTTCATCGACCAAGAAGCAACCAGGATTGCTCGTTCTATCTCGAGCTGGCGTTATCCATCAATGGAAAAGAGTTTTCGATTGCCTGTTCTAGTTGCAGATATTGACCCTGCAATACATCCTCTGTTGCTGGCCCTAAAACGCCAAGAGCTCCTCGCCATTCACAAACGGCCCTACCAACATATCAAGCCGCCAGAGCAAAGTCAAGTGTGTACCTGTCTCACATGTATCTTACGCTGGTCGGCACTCTGCCTAATCGTTGATTTTGCCCACTGGCAAGATCATCTCGACAACGGCGAACCTATTCCGATGGTTCCGCGGGGGCAACTAGTCGAATGGAATCAAACACTCATAGCAGTCCACGCTCAACTAGTCTGCAAGGCTCTGGATAACCCGCTCTGGCACGCACGTTTGTTGGAGGTGCATCTCAAGTCGACTATCCGGTCTATACGTCGCCACGCAGCGAATAAAGGGAATCGGCGGGATCGTTTCCTATTAACACGGGACGACGCTGACTCGGGAGTCGATGCCTTTTTGGACCGCTGCGGGCCGCCCACTCTTGATCTACCATTCCACCGAGATAACTACTATCTACTTGAAACTTTCATGCCAAACCGTTGTTGGAGTCAAGAGCAGTCCGCTTGGCTCTATCTGCCTGCCCAGCAGCATGATAGAGATGTTGAGCTTGTAGTCAGGTGGGCTGAACGCGGGAAGAAAGCTACATTGGAACAGAAACGGCTGGAGGCCACAGCGGCTGAAGCTATTAGCAGCCCACAAACTTGAAACCTTTATATGCTCGAAATCTTGAACTCTTGAAATTCTCATACCAAGCAATCACTAGCAAGTTAAGATTCAATATATATCTCTTTCGAGTTCGATCAGGTGTCCATTTTGTGAAGTGTAGGTGGAATGTGCAATTTGGGCATGCTAGGTAGTTTAGGTAGTATATTAGCATCACCTTTACTTGGAAGTCACAAAGTGCTTGATGAAGGCAAATGGGAAAGCAGTCTTTATACTGGCGGAACTCCTTGATGCATCATAATGCAGGCCTGTTTGAAAAAAAAAAAAAGAAAAAAAAAAGAAAAGAAAGAAAGGCCCATTTGTGATGTATTGTCTATTTGAATTATTGGGGTATTAAAATGAACAAGTGCTATGTCATTTTGACATTATATAGGTAGGAAGCCAGTGGGAAAGTCGCAAGTGAGACAACCGGCAGAGAGGATGGAAAGAAGGGCTTGGTGGGGGTTGTGGCCCTGAGTTATTAGAGACCAGTAGACCCCACCTCGGAAAAATTGCGGTGGGTGCAAAACAATAGTTATATGTTCAGATATGATCCCGCCATTCACAAGCGAGGTCGCGTGGCCCAATGGGTATGTGAAGTTCGAATCCAACAAAGTATCTCCATCTTGCAATATCACTAATAAGTGCACAGCAAGGCGTCTGACTACGAATCAGGAGATTCTGGGTTCGATCCCCAGCGTGATCATAATTTTTGCCGTTCTACTTGTTTTTTCCGCTATGGTCATCTTTTAATATATGTCACAATGTAATTGTTAATCCACCTCAAGTTATATTTGGTAATTATGTCTGAAAATCTGAACCAAAATTGGAAAAGAACAGGGAGAAAAATCGGTTACTTGAAACTGTCTCAGCCCAAAAGTACAACGTTATCTAGGCATGGAACATGGCGCACCTACATAATGTCTACCTAAAATTGGTAGGCAAGACACACAACCAGATGGGCGGGCAGGTAGGTAGGTAGATATGTTTATATGTTGATAAGTAGAATAATGGTTATGCTGATGTATGTAGTATATGACATAGAGTTGTGACGAGAATTCATGAGGTTTAGCAGCCATGGAAATGGGAGATCTCCATGTGAAACAGACTTTGACGCCACAGAATAGCTCATGTGCCGCGATATATCAATGCCCGACAGACATAAAACCTTTGCTTACTAACTGGATGTCAGATTAGTCCAACAGCATCCATCTCAGCTTACAGTAGTGGTTCCATCACAAGCCCGAAGGACTACCGGCTCAGCCCCATACCTCCATTACAGTTCTACCTCTCAGTCTGCGACAGCTATCTCACATCGGATCATGAGGGGCACAGATTCCTCGCTCCATCTCCCTCGCATCCTCTGCCTCCATGGCGGAGGCACCAATGCACGCATCTTCCGTGCCCAGATGCGGGCCGTCTCGCGCATGCTAGAGCCGTATTTTCGCCTAGCGTATGCCGAAGCCCCTCACCCCTCCGCGGCTGGCCCGGACGTCGTCGCCGTCTACGCCAACGAGGGCCCCTTCAAGAGGTGGCTGCGGTGGCTGCCCATGCATGCTGTTGTCGAGGACCTCGAGGCCGTTAGCGCTATCGACGACGCTATCAGATCGGCCATGGACACTGACGATGCCCTCGGCGCCGATGGGTCCTGGGTCGCTTTGCTCGGATTCAGCCAGGGTGCGAAGGTGGCTGCTAGTCTCCTTTTCCGCCAGCAGCAGCGTGCGTTCCGCAAGGGTCGGGGAGAGAGCGTGCAAGACAACATTTACGATGGCTGGAAATTCGCCGTCGTACTCGCTGGCCGCGCACCCTTGGTCAACCTCGAGCCCGGCGTTTTCAAGTCTTCCATGCTCAGCAATCCCTCGGAGATCGGACTCAGCGGACAGGCGGATCTTATGGAACTTGCTCAAGAGAACCACATTTTACGCTTGCCGTCGATACATGTCCATGGCTTGGCTGATCCGGGACTTCACCTGCATCAGGAGTTGTATGAACGGTACACCGATCCTGACTGTACCAAGCTTGTACAGTGGGATGGTAATCATAGAGTCGTACTCAAGACGGTTGATGTCCAACCTGTTGTTGACGCCATCTTGGCTACAGCGAAAGAGACCGGCGTGTTGTAGACCTGGATCTTGATGGAAAGACATGGGCTTTGAGCAAAGAACTGTCCTTCTTGAGTTTCTGGCGTCTAGGAAGTATTTAGATTTGGGGACAAGGTCGGCGGTCTGAACAGATGACACTCGCGAAAAATTCCCTAGGTGATATTTCAACAGGGATCACACGGGACTTGATTTATTTATGAGATCCTTTCATTGGCAGACAGCGGCGTACAGATGTATGCAATATGCAAATCAGATCAGCCCCATAGACGTTCTCCTGTGCGCATTTTCTCTGAATCACTAAGCGCTCGATCATTGAAGATCATGGAATAATGCGGTGCCTCCGGGACCCCAACAAAAAAACACTAGGCTTCATCAGATAGTGCCCTCAACTTGTCTATGACCGGTGTATATGAGCATACCGACTTCAAGAAGATGGCTGTGGTTGAAGAAACTGTTTCAACCCCGACCAGATTTCTTGAGTAGAATACTGCTAACAACAATTGGTAGGATACTACATAGGAGGCAGTTACTCGAGTAAGAACAACTGGGGATACTCCTCCTTCTGCTTCTGAATATTTGGTGCTGCAATTAGCCCGACGACCGCATCTCCTCTATCAATCTTGCGCACAAGATATACTTGGAACATGTTCTTTGATCAAACCAGTTTAACACTGAGCCTTACTAGTAGAGTATAAAAGGTAGCTGTCTGCCTGCTACAAACCCCTGAGACTACACGCTTGTCCTTGCATACGGGCCTTCTTCGTAGGGAATGATATTAAATATTCCCATGCGAGTTTCAAATCAAGCCGTGCTCTTATCAGCACTACACTAAACCTTCCCAAAGCTATGACTGATACTTTTTCAGAATGGCCCAAACAAGAGGTGATCTGGCGTAGAGATTCCGAATGCTTAGAGATGTTACGTATAACTTATAGGACGATTACTCTCACCCTGTTGTACGGTTGGTGACATCAGATGAAAAACATAGCAATGGTGCAGCAAAAGCTGCGGCTAACAATGCATAATAATGTAGTGATTACATGGTGTATTATTTTATGGGCAATTTGCATCATAATTCTCAAAGTTGCTTGCCATCATCCAGGGCTTAGCTACTGTGCTTATTGTCTTGTATTCACTTCCATTGACTTTCTCGTGGTCTCGACCGTATGTAGTAGGTACATAGCTCGACCATTCTTTCATTCCAGGCATCATGCTCCATCTTAGGCGTAGGAGATAGTCGTTATTATGCATCATCATCGTCATTCAATGTAGCCAACCTCTAGTTTTCCTCAATCTACTCGCACATTCTCGAATATTGTCTGCTGAAAAGCCACTGTTAAGTGGTCGAGGGGGTGTCGCTCATCGATTGCCCCCAAAGAGGCTGCTGAATCGGAATCGCTCCTTTGCGCTGGCTTTTAGCGACGCCCGACTGAAAGACTGCTGCGAATTGATGCGCCGCCGCGGCCCAAATGTCGGGCTCATGTCGTCGTGGTCCATATCGTCTACATCATCGTACTCATCGTCAATTCTAACCGAATGACGACGTTGGGTGGTTGCGGGGCTATGCTGCTGTGTTGTATTGGGGGCGGTGTGCATGGTAGCGGGCCGCGAGATAGGCAGCTCGCCAGCCATAGCGCGCTCAACGTCGGTATATTGTCGTCTGTACTCGTCGTGTTTGAGCTTTGCCTCGGTGAAGCGGGCATCGGCATCAGCGCGCTGGGCTTGAAGGATACGTAGCTCTTCATCTAGTCGTTTCATCTCATTTTGCTCTCTCTGCATAAGTTGTTCGTACTCGCGAATTTTCTGGTCGAGAGGCTTTAGCACATGGTCCAACACGCTCGGACTTTTTAGGCGCTGGATAGAGGCGGCTGCAGCATCAACATCGGCTGTTGCACTGGCAGAAAGGGGACGGCCTCCTTGGAGCTGCTGGGCCCGTGTGGGCGATGAGCCGCCAGACACGGGTGGAGTTGGAGAACCTCCGCGAGCGGGTGGTGGCCGTGAGCCAGAACCAGTTGGCTTGGCAAGGGAAGGCGGGCGAGGATTCTGGCGTGGACCTCTTGCATTTACGGGGCCGGTTGCCTTGTCTCCGAGATGCTCATCGGAGCGGCTCCCGGATTGCCAAGAATGGCGGGAGCGGTCGGGAAAGGAGTTGGTGACGGGTGGCCGGCTTTGAGTCGTGGATTGGGGAATGCGGTGCTGGTAATTTTGCTGCGGTTGCGGTTGCTGCTGCTGCTGTTGTTGTTGTTGAGAGTCACCACCGTTGGCCATGGCGGGCGGGCCGCGGTTGTTGTCGAGGAAGTTGTAGAAGTCGTTATGGCTGTCAAAGCGCGAGTTGCTCCTCCGATGTTGGGGCGGGGAAGGATCCTCTAATTGATAGCGTTGTTGGCCGTTCATGGCAGCGGAGTAGGGGTCCGACATGTTTCTTATATATGACCAGAGAGCGATAATTGTTTGCCGTTGGAGAGTGAGAACTGACGGGTCGCGCGGAGCGAGGCAAGGCGAAGGTACGAAATATAAGTGGCGTGTGTTGGGTGGTTGGGAGCACGGGATCGGGTAACTGCCGCTGAAGCCCAGCCACCAGCGCAAAATTGAAATTGATTTCCAAAATGCAGAGGACTGACCCCTTATGTCATCGGCCGCAGCGTGTCCACTTGGCCCTGTTTCATGTCCTCCCTCGCCATGCATTGCAGACCTTACTCCATTACATGTCCTTAGGTACTAAATATCCCGTTCAACTTCCTTCCACAACAATGCTCGAGACGGGATCTATGCATACAGTACCTGTTCCGATGTACCTAAGTTACTGACCTGTAGGTACCTAAATAACACAGTGCGTAAACAGCCAATGGCAAAGAAAGCCCCACCTGCCTAAAAGGGCAATTCCTGATTTGTATTATAAATGACGACGAGGTGAGATGATAGTTGCTGCGGTTTAATATACAAGAAAAGAAAGAGAGAAAAAACATGAAAAATCAAGACATATCATGGAAAATGCCATAGAATAAAGCCCGCGTTTGCGGTGACATGTCCTTGTATGGCTCCAACTTGCCGTCTATGAGCAGTTCTCGTAGACTCGCCTTCTTGTAGCCCTGCACCTCCCATATGTCTCGACCAATGCCTGGGACGATGGCCCCTGTGCCCCATGCTTTGCGGCAGTACCAGCTGAGTCCCGTCGGACTTCCGCTTGCTACCGCCTGCGCAATCTCGTCATCGACCCTTTCAATTGTATGGGTGAACGTCTGCGTCTTGGCTCCGTGCTTCTCCGTCAATGCCGCTGCAATCTCATCGCCCGTGGCCTTCAGTTCCGATATGCCAATGTAGCGGCCTTGCAGCTGTTCTGGAGGTGTCTGCGCAAATATAGATGCGTATGCAGCTGCTACATAGTTGCGTGAGCTACAACTGGACGTTAGCATCCGTCATCTTCTACTTTCCGTGAGCCGGGAGGAACCTACCAGAGACTGAGCTGCTGGTTTAGACTGTCGCCCGTCACCACCAATCGGTTTCCCGTGTCATCTATACCCAGGATTGGAAACGCTAATGTTGACTCCGTGAAGCATCCACACCATATTGTAGTTATAGGCACTCCGGCAGCTTTGGCTGCGTC